AAATCTTACAATATTTCATAATAAACATATATGGAAAATTCTGAGAAAAGGTATACGTAGATTTCCTGAGAAGTGTTCCAATTCGTATAAAAAATGTCAGAAAGGTATAAAATTATTTTAAAATTCTGAAAATTTATATAGAAATTTTGAAAAATTATATGAAAAATTCTGAGAAAAGTTTTCATTAAGGTAACTTCGCCAACATACGCTTTAAACTTGTGTATATTTACTGGAAGATTTTCGTTAAATCCTCTTATTTGTATTATAATACCTGTAGCTTGTTCATTCACATCGATTTCATAACTAAACCCAGCCGTTACAGCCGGGTGTAAGTCTTCGAGTATTAGATACTTTATTACATTGCAGTACATTTGCAGGCGAACTGCACTGAAATGTTATTAATATTGTTCGGTTAGGAACAATGACAGGGAATCGGGCTTGCGGGATCCGCCGTGAAGGAACGATCACAATTTTTCATTTAACAAAGCATAGGTTTATTTGACGCTTATGAATGTCACAAGTTGCTCAAGTTTACTTAAAGACAGACAGACGGGTCCCTCGCTCGAACCGTAATCGAGCCCCGTATAGACAGACAGACAGACAGACAAACGGGTCCCTCGCTCGAACCGTAATCGAGCCCCGTATAGATAGACAGACAGACGGGTCCCTAGCTCGAGCCGTCATCGAGCCCCGTATAGACAGACAGACAGACAGACGGGTCCTTCGCTCGAGCCGTCATCGAGCCCCGTATAGACAGACAGACAGACAGACAAACGGGTCCCTCGCTCGAACCGTAATCGAGCCCCGTATAGACAGATAGACAATATGGCGGCACAAGGCCACACGCAATCAAAACCGCGACGCACCACGTCGTTTCACGTCGCTCGTTTATGATAGGCAAACACCTCTCCTACCTGTCTTCTCAGCTCAATATCAAGTTTCCCGTCGTCTAGCTTGCATAGACATTTGAGGGAATAACAATCCTTTTACTTCCCTTTGTACGCCTTGTAGTCCGTACTCGTGGAAGAACAGCAACGATACAACTTAACTGACGCCGACGCTGTTGCTAACTGTGCATCACTGTTGCTAACACGCAACGCCACGACCACACTGCCCTCGTGCGCCGCAGACGAGCGGTCACGTGATTGGCACGTTCTCGATAGCTCGATTCGATCTCGGTTGATAATTTATCGCGACGGAACAAATATAAATTAAGTTTAATAACAAATTAATTTATAAAAATTACAACACATAATAATTACAAGTTAGAGTTTATAATAGGTATATATATAAGATCGCGCGGTAGACGTAGTAGTACTACTATAAATGTATAAATATTTTTACATGTCCAAGCTATTATTTACTTTTTTGCTACTCGACGAGACATAGGAGAAACAATATGTAGATTTATATGACACATCGGCCAATGAAACTTCGGGCAAAACCAAATCTCCGACATACGATCTTGGTGTATTTTTACAGGGTATTTCGAAGCTTCTGCTGATACCGGTATGATAGAAAAATTATTGGCAAAAAATTCATTGCTTGATGGTAAATGAAAATTAGGCAATGGCTCGATAAATTTCCAGCGTTTGATCGATTCTTTCGATATTTCAGTACTCGTGTAGCGTATTTTCGAAAATTTCTCGACTATACCCAATCGAACATCATTATTGAAAATCATTATATTAATCGATTCTGGTACCAAGAAATCCAAACATTTTTGTATAGCTTCTGGGTTATACTCGAAATAAATATATTTTCCGGTCACATAATCACGCGACGGATAGAAATGCATACTCTTACATATATCGAACACACCATCGTGTTGACTAAAAAATCTAAAAAAGAATTCAATCATAAGTGGCATATTTTACGTATTTTAATGGTATTGTTCTTTTCTACAAATCTATTTATTCTTAAATTGATTTACCTAAAATTATTTTTTCCAATCTTAATAAGTTCATTATAAATACTTTCTTGTGGACCCGTCCTTTTTACTAAATTGATGAAGGAGAATACTGCATCTAGAACGTCTCGCTGATGTTTCACTCCCTCATCGGTGAGTTCTACTATAATCTCGAATAAAATATACATAGAGTTGTATCCGAAACCATTATCGTTATTATAAGTACCAGAAAACACATCAAGGCCCCACATTTTTTTACGTAGATAACTAGTTAAAGAATCTTTTCCTTTATGTTCGATAATCCATGAAATATATTTACATGGTTTACTTCTGTACAAATTAAGTAGTGAAGGCAAAGCCCATGTTACATGTATCTGTAAAAGACAAGTTTCATTTTTATATGCATTTGTTCAGGGCATACAATTTTTTTTTAATTTGTTTGTCCAAGTTACATACTTGGTTGACATCTTTGCAAACTTTAATGTGATACATTTTTTTAAAAGCGTCAGTATCAAATGGAAGGCTATCTTCAAATTTATTAAAATCGTCGGGGGGCAGATCGTAATTTGGTATAGTATTACAAAATTTTGTGACACATTGTTCCAGCGTAGAAAGTGATAACCTTGCCTATAAACGAATGTACGTACTATATTATAAATTAACTATGTTTAATAAGACATCAGTTGTTCATCGCAAATTTAACGTATTATAGTTACCTGTATAGCTAGCATCATTCTGTGCGCGCTATAATGGCGCTTTCTAAATTCGTGCAACTTTTCGTACAACTTGTCATCATCTATATCATTGTTTAAAGATATTGAACTACCCCGAAGAAACTTACTGGCTGGATGATCAGGTCGTGCGATAAAAGATAAAAAATTTCCCTTTGTATTTTTGTCCTTAAATGTACTCCATTGAAACTCTATGCGAACATGGAACATTAAAAAAACCGCAAGTTTTAGTAACAACATTACGATTTACATTATGATTTACATACCTCTTTGTACAGCCTCTCGTTCCCTCGTGATGTCATCTTTCTTTATCAAGGGTTCAATGAATAATTGAACAAAACGATCAAGAGCTGCAGATAAATATCCCTATACATCAAAATAATACACTGTACACTCGCAATCTGTTTTGCCATCAGTAGTGCCACCATGGAGACTGATAAATTCATTAAAACCGTTTTCCTGCAAATACAATGATATTTAAACATGAAAATGTGCAAAAAATGTATTTTATGATAAATTCACTTATCATATTTTAATAAAAATATAATAGTAATAAGACTCAATAAATTAAAAAAAATTGAAAGAAAAAGGGCTACAAGCCTAAGAGTTAGTCGTTAGAAATAGAAATTTTTAAAAAACAGTATAAATATGTCATTTAGTCAGAATATAAAACTTTAATGTGCCTGCAATAAACAATATAACATAAACAAACGTTTCGATCCCTGTTGGATCATTATCAATGTTATATAAATTTTATAAATTTTTATAAATTTTAACTTTGTAATATTTTTACCGTTCTATTTTTGTGTATTTAACATTGATTTCCCTTTTTCTTTCAATTTTTTTCATATTTTAATACATTTGAATGATTTCCGGATCCCATGAAAATTATGCGCTGAAGGAAATGTGCCAGACCTGGAACTTCCGGTGGATCGCTAAAACTGCCTACTCCCACACATAAGCCACAAGATGCCTAAGTTTAAAAAATATATATACCTATATTTCTTATCTTGCGTTGCATATAGAATGTTAAATTGGTACATTAAGCACAAACAGTAGTGAGATGGCTGCTAAACAGTTTACACATTTCGAAACGAATCCATAAACATTTACAGAGGATTAATAGAGGAGTTCACGTTTTTCAAACAAGGACCCCTGATAATGAATGCGTTTTGAATTACGCATGAAACGCACGATGCATCATTTATCCTTGTTATTCACAAAATAATAAAGAAAGACAAAATGATCAAGCGCTTTATGCATAACACGAAACGCATCCGATATCAAACTTTACTGGATGAATACGCTGTAATCGTCATTGCGATACTTTATTCTTTCACGTCCGATGAGCGATAAAAATGGATGGACGCAATTGCGCTTATGATACGCTTCTGAACGCAGTTTTAAAGAGATAGATTATTTTTTATGATTTTATAAGTCCATCTTTGATATTATTATCTCAATGTATTTTTAATAACATATTAGACCGTCTAATGGCTTAGGACGCTCGTACGGATTACAAGGGG